AATGAAATTGTAAGGGAAGCAGTACACCGAAAGTGATTTCTAGAAGCAAGCATTATCTGACTCCAAATCTAGAAAAGAACCCAACCAAAAAGGAGAATGACAGGCTATTCTTTTTCATGAACATAGATACAAAAATGCTCAATACAACACTGGCAAACAGAATGCAGTAAATCATCAAAAAAGTATATACCAGGCCGGGGATTTAGCTTAGTGGTTCCACCGCCTGCCTCGCAAGTGCAAAGTCCCAAGTTCAATCTCTGGTACCAAAAAAAAAAACAAAACAAAACCAAAACAACAACAACAAAAAACTATACACCATGACCAAGTAGGATTCATTCAAGCAGTGCAGGGATGGTTCAATAAAGGCAAATCAATAAATGTAACACATATTAACAGAAGCAAGGACAAAAACCTCATGGTCATCTCAATAGACACAGAAAAAGCATTCGACAAAACGTAACATCAATTGGGCTGGGGATTTAGCTCAGTGGTTTTGCCGCCTGCTGCGCAAGTGCAAAGACCCGAGTTCGATCCCTGTTACCAAAAAAAAAAACAACCTAGCATCAATTAATGATTAAAATCCCAAAGAAAATTAGGTCTTTATCTCAATCTGATAAAAAGACATCTATGACAAACCAACATCTATGACAAGCCAACATCATACTAAACAGAGAAAAGCTGAACGCTAATATTCTAAAATTAGCAACAAGACAAGGACGCCCACTCTCACTACTCCTGTTCAATACAGTTCTAGAAATATTAACCAGAGCAATTAGAGAAGAAAAAGAAATATGTATAGGAAAGGAAGTCAGATTATCATTATTTACTGATTATATGACCTTCTACATAGAAGATCCTCAAAACTCCACCAACAGACCCCTAGAATTAATAACCAAATTCAGTAATGTAGCAGTATATAATTTAACACTCAAAAATCAATACCATTCCTGAACACCAACACCAAACTCACCAAAAAAGAAATTAGGGAATCAATACCTTTCACTATTGCATTAAATAAAATACTTTGGAATTAACCTAACCAAAGAAGTGAAAGATCTCTATAATGAAAACTACAGTACTCTGAAAAAAGAGATTGAAAAGGGTATCAGAAAATGGAAAGCTATCCCCTGTTCCTGCATAGGCAGAACCAATATAGTGAAAATCACCATACTTCCACAACTATTATATAGATTTAATGCAATCTCTATCAAAATACCAATTGGGCCTGGGATTTAGCTCAGCAGCACTGTGCCTGCCTTGCAAGTGCAAGGTCCTGGGTTCGATCCCCAGTACCAAAAAAAAAGACCATTCCTTACAGACCTAAAGAAAACAATCCTGAAATTCATATAGAACCAGAAGAGACCTAGAATACCAAAAGCAAGTCTGAGCAACAAGGGCAAGGTAAGAAGGATCACATTCCCAGACTTCAAATTATACTACAAAACTTCAGTGATAAAACAACATGGCACTGGGGGGAGGGGACAAAAAAATAGACTTGAGGATCAATGGAACAGAATAGAAGATGCAGAAACAATTCTAGGCACACTCAGCTACTTACCTTTGAAAAAGGGGCCAAATACCTTCACTGGAGGAAGGACAGCCTCTTTAACAAACTGGGAAAAATTGGTATCCACATGGACAAGATTGAACCTAAACCCATATCTCTCACCATGCACTAAACTAAAATCAAAACGGATCAAAGATCTAAATATTAAAATAGAAACACTTACTCTGCTGAAAGATGGAACAAGTAAAACTCTTGAAGACATAGGCGGAGACAAAGGTTTATGAACAAAAACCCTGTTGCACAGGAAATATTACACAGAACCAACAAATATAATCACATCAAATAAAAAAAAAATGAGGGGCCAAGGAGTTAGCTCAGTGGAACTGTGCCTGCCTTGCAAGTGCAAGGTTCTGAGTTCGATCCTTGGCACCGAAAAAAAAAAGGGGGAAACCACCAACAGAGTGAAGAGACAATCCACAAAATGGGAAATTTTTCCCAGACAGAGGACTAATATCTAGAATATATAAAGAATTTTTTAAAAATCAAACCCCTCCAAATTTAAAAACCCAATCCAATATTGGGCATCTGAAATAGACACTTCACAGATGAACAAGTACAAAGGGCCAATAAATACATTTTAAAAAATGGTCAACATTGCTGGCCTTTTAAGAGATGCAAATCAAAACACTGAGATTGCACCTCACGCCAGAAAGAATGGCTGTGTAAAAAGAACCCTTCTCCGTTGTTGGTAGGAGTGTAAACTGTTACAACCACTATGAAAATCAGTATGGCAATTCCTCAAAGAACTAAAAGAGGTTCCATTTGACCCAGCTATTCCCCTTCTAGGTATCTCCCCAAAAGAGTTAAAAGCATCATACCCCAGTGATACATACACACTCATATTTATTGTAGTATACTTTATAGTAGCTAAATCTTGGAAACAGCCCATATGCCCATCAACAGATGTGTGAATAAAGAAAATGTGGTATTTATGTACAATGAAGTACTACTCTGCCATAAAGAAGGATAAACTTGAGGCATTTTTAGGTAAATGGATGCACCTTAAGACCATAATCCTAAGAGAAATGAACCACGTAAGTATAAATATCACATTGTTTCTTTGTGCGAGAAACCCAAAATATAAATAAGGAAAAAATGGAGGATAGATATTAGGAAGTAGGAAGATACTGTTCAAATAGGAAGGGGAACAAGAGATGGGGAGAGGAGGGAAGAGAAGAAAGGGAAAACGGATTTGAAGAAAAAATGTAAATAGAGCTTTTGTAAATGGGAAGAAGGGTTAAAGGGAGGGGAGGGGAAGTAGACAAAAATATAAAAAAGAATGAAGATGTGTTATACACCTGTACAAATTGCCCATGATGAATGTCATCATCATGAACTGCAAACACGTACTAATAAAGAGTTTTTAACTTTACTGTATATCTTGTCCTGTAAACTACTTCAAATATGCAGATACTACAATATATGCTAGAAGATATGTATACTATAATGCAATTTATAAAAGGCTTTAAGTCATAAAATATTCAATATAAAACATTTGTACAGGGCCGGGATTTAGCTCAGTGGTTTCGTCGCCTGCTGCACAAGCACAAGGACCTGAGTTCGATCCCCGGTACCAGAAAAAAAAAAAAACATTTGTACAATGTTATTCTCCTATAAAACTGTCTTAATTCTCACAGCCCAATGAGATACTCATACATCCAAACTTCTGTGACCTGTCAGGGACAGCAAGAAACCCTTTCTGATTTCTTCTGATCTTACTGCAGCTCTTCAGAAGCGAAGTATATGAAATATTTTAAAGCAACATTAAATGGAGGTACTAACTCACTAGAAGCCTTAATTAACTCAGATAAGTGTAACATGTAACCTTGAATAACCTTATGCTTGACAATTTACCATAGACTTTATTTTCAACCAAATAGTAAAATCTAGATAAAATGGCAATCACTTCTACTTTCTATGTAACATGTCTGAGATGTGACATTTCTTAGTAAAATTCTATGCTGTCACACATTAAATGAGTCTTAGCCTACATGTCCTCCAAACTCTCAGCTTATTAAAATTCATTATGCTAAAAGAAAGCCAAAACAACAAAACCTCTACAGGGAATGCAGTCTCCTAAATGTTTTACCATGCAGAGGGAGCTGAGGGGCAGAAATAAAAATCAATTTACCATTTATTCAACATTATTACTAGAACTAAACCAAACTACAAACATAAAATGCTAACAGAAAATACATTGCATCACTGAAGATTTCACATACTACAAATATCTGAATCGGACAAAGAACTTCAGATTAAACTGTTCCAGTCAGAAACTAATACATGAAAAATACATTTGTATCTGGGTAGATCAAATCCAAATTCTTTATGGAACAGTATAACTCAAAGGACAATGAAGATCTGATTGTTGCTCTGTTTTACATGTAATTTATGTAGTCATACTATTCTAAGATTTTTAAGACACTGTGAAGATACCATTTTTGGAACAAGGAAGAAGTTGAAAACTGAGACAAATCTATTTGTTGGAAACACAACATTTTTAGAAGATAATCACAAAGTAGTGGAAAGAAATGCAAAGGCTCGAAGATAGTGTTACTTAGGATTACAAAACTGTCTTTCTAGGAAATTCAGGGTACCACAACCAGTAAAAACAGTGATACAGGTGTATATTTGGAGACCTAGGGAGGTGGCCAGGTTTAAGGAATAAATGCATAGTCTTTCCCATATCTACCTTTTTAAATACCAAATAATTTTTTTTCTTAAAAACCTCAAGTGCCTTCTTCAGAAACAGACCAGAAAATGGTTCTATGAATAGATTCTGAATACAGCATATTCCTTAATCATTCTCTGCCTCTTTACAGGGCAAGGAATTTGTTGGTTTTCATTCAGTGCATAAAACAAAGGGCCGTGCCCCACAGTCTCTTAGTATAAATCTTACAGGGCTAACACTGTTCTCCATAGCTTAATCTAATTGACATGATGGAAAAATTGAACACAGATCCTTAACACTGACTTACTAAAATCAAGAACATCTCAATAGTCAGATACTAGAAAACTCAGTAATGTTTCAAGCAAATATGTTAACTAATAAAACAAGTCAAGTGCTATATGCATGCATTAACAAACTCCAAAGAACTCAAAACACTTAAGTATAAAATAACATTGAAAATTATTTTCTTCTCTTTAAGCATAAAGAAGAATTTGGGATACTAGAACACAAGTAGCAAGTGTAGTTATAAGCAAACAGCTCTTAAGTGATTTGTTCTGAAAGTTTTATGTGAGATCTGCTTCTCTCAACACAAGCCACACCTATTTCCAGGCTTCTCACCATCACATTCATTTTAGATTCACAATTGTTATGTGGACTTCTGATAATCCAATTTGGCACTGTAAACTAGAATCATATCAACTCATAATCATGCTCTCCAGAGTTTCAGAAACTAAATAAATAATTTCTGTATGAAATATTTACCTTCATCTTTTAATTGGTCAGCTTTTCCCACATCTTCAGGCACTAAGTTTTCAAGGGGCAGAATGTCATTCTGAAATTAAATAAAAATAAATACATTTCTATTTTGTTGCATAGTCATGCATACACCTGTACACACACACACATTTAAAAATAAAACCTGGAAAGGTATATACCAAAAGGTTAACAGTAGTAATGTTTGCAAGTAAAGCTTTCACCTTTTCTATCTTTCTGTGTTGCACAAAATTTTGAAACAATGAGCAAAAAATTTTTTTCACTTTAAGATGTAAAACATACAAAATTTTGTTTTAGCACCTACTATCACTTTCAAGCCTCTCCTTCATTAATAAAGTTCAAACCAAAGGTCTTATTAAAATTGAACTGAAAATCTGGAAATGCTTTCAGTGGCACTAGGAATACAATGTATTTTTCCATTTTCAAAAAGCTTTTTTTTTGGGAGACTGTCTCAAAAATATTAATTAATTAACAATAAATAAATAAGACCTTTTCAAAATTATAATGCTTTTAAACTTGACTCTGATATTCAGAATGTCTACAATTTTCAAAAAACCATAATTTGTAGCTACTACACTTATATACTACATTTTATTTTTTTATTTTTATTTTTTGGTACCAGGGATTGAACTCAGGACCTTGCACTTGCAAGGCAGGCACGGTGCCACTGAGCTAAATCCCCAGCCTTATATACTACATTTTAAATGTATCTCCTATTACTTTTGTCTTAACTGAAGTTTCAATAAAATGTATAGACTTAACACTAGTAATATACTTTGCTAATTAGACACAACTAGAAATCACTAACAGAGAATATGGGCCTTCTTTGTTTTTTAAAATCTTTCTCTACTAATCAATTTTCCTTGCTTTTGTTTTTGTTTTTGAGATAAGGTCTCCTTATGTATTCCAGTCTGGTCTTGAACTCTCTGTGTAGATCAGGCTGGCCTTGAACTCACAATGATCCTCCTCCCTCTGCCTCTCCAGTGCTGGGATTTCAGGCATGTGCCACTCCACCTGGCTTTACTAACCAATTTAAGCATAAAATAGTAAAATACAAACAGTATGGAAACAAAATGGGAACTTTCGTAAGTAGAGTTTACTACTTTTAACTGTAGTTGAAAGACATATTACTGCCCTATAATACTTGCTTTTAGAGTTCCTTTTATTTTAAATCTCCCAACAAGCCTAAGCAGTTTACAAATAGAAAAAAAAGAATATTTTAGTCAGAAAAAAACAACATATTAAAAAGTTGATTATGTTCTATTGTTTTCCAAATCTTTTTTAACTATTTTAATGAAACTGCCACAGTTTTATACTTTGAAAAGTAATTTTCATATTCACTGAGTAAATCTGACAGCTCATAATATGAAGGCAAATGAATTCAGTTAGTATATGCACCAACTTAACTGGGTGGGGAAAGAAAAGCAGTATCCTAAAATTAAAATGACTGATATTGGGCCAGAGGTTTAGCTCAGTAGTTCCAGCGCCTGCCTTGCAAGCACAAGGTCCCGAGTTCAATTTCCAGTACCAAAACCAAAAAACAAAACAAAACAAAAATGACTGATATAACATTTAAGTACACTTGATGAGAGAAATAATTTCTTTAATTATAAAAATGGTGATACTATTTCAGACAAGTTTTAGTCTTTCTCTGCCATACTTTTAGCAAATGCATATGGAATAAAGCCATGGCTGTTAATAAGATTACTAAAGGATGATGATACCTAACATATACCACTGCAGATGTACTAGGGAGAAGTTTGGTAAACTACATTTTAAAAATAGTATGCAACAAATTTCTTACAATTAAATGCAATCAGAGAAATACACCAAAAGGGAAAAAAAGAACTTTATACAAATAGAATGTCTTCAATTACAGCTTCCTGAAAAGTTAAAAAAAAAAAGTTCTGATCTCTTCAGTACTAAGTCAATGGTGACAGTAACTAAAGAGTTAGCCATTCCAATTGCTGCCTGAAGCTCAGGCCTTGAGAGAACAAGGTCTGCTTTAGCCATAGCCATATTCAGCCATTGAGGCAAGGTTTCCTGAGGAGGCCACAGGCTCAGACAAAGAACCAGATCTCATCTTCACTAAAGGGAAGAAAAAGAGGGTTCTCTGCTAAGGAACAGAGAGACATGCCACTATCTTTACAGCTTGTCATATAATTAGAATTTATTTGGGCCAGGGGTGTAGATCAGCAGAAGGACACCTATCTAACACTTGTGAGGTCTGGAGTTTAATCCCCAGAACCACACAAACACACACACACGTGCGTGCATATGCATACATGCACACACACACACACAAATTTGTTGGATGAGTTAATGTATTATCTGCATTATTCTTTTTCCAGGTATAAAAGAAGGGAGTCAGGAGTATTTTACTGCCAAATTTCTGTCTTTATTGCAACTTGAACTTCTTCTCAACAAGCTCTATAAACAGAGCCTGGAGAGTCTAGCTAGATGTGGTACTGTCAGCAATGTCCATTTCGAGCTGCAGTGTTTTTTTAAATTTTATTTTGTTTTGTTTTTAAATATTTTTTTGGTGCTGAGGACCAAATGTAGGACCTCCCACTTGTAAGGCAAACACTACCACTGAGCTAAATTCCCAACTCCCCATGCTCAAATTTATCCTTCATGTTTCAACTTTACTCCTGAATCCTTCATTATGTACCAAACTCAAATACAGAGCTAGAAAAACAACAGGAGTTCATGAGGCACTAAAATGGAATGAAAAAACACATGCATGGTCAACTAGGATTCCCTCAATTACTCATACTGTAAAAGACCTAAAAGTCAACCAAGATATATCATTAAATATAAAAGCTGAGAGGATAGGAATAGGTACTAATGTGAAAATCTAAAGGACATTTAACAAGTTATATTTTAGATCTCAAATTATCTCCATACAAACTAATCCATCCTATACCCAGAAAGAAGTTAATTACTTATAGACCTGGCACTGCAATTATTAACAATCCAACATGAGACTGGAGTCACACTTTCCTCATACTTTCATCAGACCCTAATGAAAAAAGAATGACAACATACCTTACAAAAGGAATTTGTGAACATTTCTGTCAAAGGCTGTGAAACCGCTAGATGTGTATCTTCTAGGCTGATCTTAAAAACCGTCTCCAGGCACTGAATTGCAACTTGAAACAAATTTTAATAGTGGAAAAAAAAAGCAAGTTAAAAAAAAACAGCTTTTTTTTCCTGATAGGAATATAATCTGTGGTAAATCAGTACTTATGATCACAGAACATGAGGAAAACTAATTCGCTCAGCTGCATTGAGATTTCTATTTACAGACCAGATACTGAGGAAAAACAACTTGATTTGTTACTAAAAAAAAAAAGTGTTATCTACAATAAAATTTCTGAATATATATAACATCACATTCTTATTGAAGGCTATCAGAAAGAAGAGCAAGCCACTAATAACTTACTCCCCTCATCAACAGCTAATTTACCACCAATGTCTTAATGCTTTGAACAAACTTAAAATATCACATATATAGATACACCATAAATACATACACATGCACATACACACACATACATGTATATGTGCTTTTCTGAGACAAATCTCCCTGTGTAGTCCAGACTGGTCTTCAACTTGCTGTGCAGCCCAGGCTGGCCTTGAACTTGTGATCTTCTAGTCTCATTCTCCCCAGTGCTAGGGTTACAGGCTGGTGCCACCATGCCTGATTCTATATATGGTTTAAATGTGAGAAACAGAAGTATCAACCTGAATAAAAATGGTAAAACAAACAGTCCCTGATATATAAGAAATATTAAATATTAATCCTGGTATACTTAAGTGAAGGTAGATCAGTTTAAAAGATTCATTCATACAGTGCCAGAGATTTAGCTCAGTGGTGCTGACACCTGCCTCATAAGCACAAGGTCCCGAGTTTGATTCCCAGTACGAAAAAAAATCCCCCAAAGCAATCAAATAAAAACTGTTCATCATTTTAAAAAAAAGATTCATTCATACATGCAAATTTATCAAATGCCCACTATGTGTAAGATGCTGTTCTAAGGTGATGGACAAACAGTGGTAAACATAACAACAACAACAAAAAAATCACTGTCCACATGATAAAGTTTAGTTTTTTGTTTTGCTTTTTTTTTGGTACCGGGGATTGAACTCGGAACCTTGAGCTTGAGAGGCAGGTGGCAAAACCACTGAGCTAAATCCCCAGCCCTGATAAAGTTTAGTTTTAAGATGAGTATGGTCATGTTTCAGTACCTCATTGTTCCTCTGGTGTGAGAAACTGAAAGGGGAAATAAGGACTAAAATGTATAATTGATATTGGGAAATGGAAAGAAAAATTTTTAAATGGGAAGTGCAACAAGGGAGGGGGAAGGGTAAAGGAAGGAAAGGACAAGAAAAAAAAGTGAAAATACCACCTTTTTTCGGGGGGGGGGGGGGACCAGGGATCTAACTCAGGACCTTGTACTTGAGAGGCAGGTACGGTGCCATTAAGCTAAATCCCCTGCCCAAATAGAAGGAAATAATGAAAACAAAGCTTTTGTATATAGGCTAGGGGTATTGATGGCAGAGAGAATGGGAAAAAAAAAGAAGTGGCAGGATATGTCATGTACAGGTGCAAATTCCCTATGATGAGTCTTATCACTATGTATAACTAAAATGTACCAATATGGGCTCAGCAGCCAGCACCTGCCTGGCAAGCTCAAGGCCCTGAGTTCGATTCTCAGTACCAAAAATAAATAAATAAATAAATAAACAAAAATAAAATATACCAGTAAAGATTTTGCTCCAGGAAAAAAAAAAAAAGAAGAGTGTGATGGTGCACATCTGTTATCCCAGCACTCTGAGAGGCCAAGGAAGAAGGACTGCAAGTTTGAATCCAGCCTGGGCAAAACAATGACCTAGCAGGACTCTGATTCAAAAAAACAAAAACAACAACAACAATAACAACAAAAAACACTTTACATGTAACAGAAGGGGAAACACAAGTAAAATTATATCATGTTGAATGATTACAGGTGTCTCATCTCTTTTTGGTTCAGAACAAGATCACAGGTTGGTACAGCTACGGAACAGACTGAGAACATGGGAAGGAAAATGATATAACCAACTAAAAGTCTGGTTAAAATGCTGAGAATGGATGAGTGTTACAGTTTAGGTCTACGATGTCCACCAAAGTCTCATTTATTCAGAGGCTGGGATTTTGAAAGCTGATTGAATGCAATAACTTCATTATCAATTGATCCATCTATTGATGAGTAAATACCCAAATTAACTCTTAGGAGAGGAGTGAGTGGGGGCATGCCTTTCAAGGCTATTTCTCTTCTCTGGCTCTTCCCTGCTAACTCTGCTTTCCGGTTGCTATGAGGTTAGCAGCTCTCCTCTGCCATGCCACTCTGCCATGTCATTGCTGCCTTTGAGCCAGCCCGCCCTAGACTGAAGCCTCTGAAATTGTGAGCCAAAATAAACCTTCTCTTCTTTAAATTGTATATGTCAGGTATTTTGTCCCAGGAAACAAAAGGCTCACTAATACAGAAATGGAAGAGATGTGAGAGAGTGGAAGCAAAAACCAAGTGGGTTCCTACTTAAATGATAAAGGAGGAACTTGGGCAGGAACAGTGAAAAGTACATATCCTCTCCTCAAAACTCAGAGAGATGGACGTAGAGTCTCATCTCGATCGTGCTCTAATGTGATCATGCTCCTGCTAGATAAGAAATTGAGAATGTAGACAAGATTTGTCCTGATCACTTTCACACAGTATGGAATAGATTCACTTACATTCTTTTTTTTTTCTTGGTGATTTGGGTTTTAATTTTGTTTTTATTGCACCTGACAAGATACAAGTTATCGATTGTTCCTCAATCACTTACATTCTTACGTGATTTTTAAAAGGTAAATTATGTATTAATTGTGGTCTTGAGAAAATTATGTCTGTCAAAAAGAAATACTGTTTCTTTCATTAGCCACAGAACAAGTCTCCTTAGAAAAGGGGCCAAATAAACAACAAAATTACCATATAGGAAATTATCTGTACACCCACCCTTCATTCTCTCCCTATTTTTGTCTGGGTGAATTTGCAATTAAAATGCTGAGCCACAAGAAAGATCTGCTCTCATTGCAATGAAAATAGTTAATTAAAATAATCAAAACAAAAAAAAGACGTATGTATATGTCTATATTCACTCTTGACAAGCATCCTCCCTACTTAGTCAGATTGGTTATTTCCTTTACTATGCCACATGGTATGTACATGTTTCTATTATTGTTCTTGTTATATTATACATAACTATTATCAGTATACTATGTGACCCGAATGTATGTCTGCTATATTATACTTGAGAACAAGGCCTACATCTTACTCATCCTTGACTTGAGAAGAATTTGGCAAATAGTAGATGCTCAGTGAATTGAATCTACTGACTGCAGTTCAAGTCATATTTGAATTTCTGAGAAAAAAAAAAATCAAAACTGTAAAAAAGACATTTCTCCTCTCCACTCCCCAAATAAAACAAACACCAATTCATAGACAAATAAAAGATTGAGGGAACCAAACTAAACCATTAACCAAAAACCAGAGAATGGAACTTTAGAGCTAAGCACTAACAGCACTGAGGGTCTTTTATGCCCTGTCTTGATCACATGGTCCAGTACAGCTTCTTAATTCTGCTGTTAGAACATAAATCTGGCACTTACTAAAGACAATTCAGTATTATTAAAGGAGGTTACTTTTTAAAATATAATTCTGTTTTGTTTTGTTTTTTTCGGTACTGGGGATCGAGCTCAGGTCCTTGTGTTTGCGAGGCAGCCGAGGTGCCACTGAGCTAAATCCCCAGCCCTATAATTCTGTTTTGATAAAAACAGAACTGGAACCTATCTTTGCAACTCAAGACTATCCTCTTTTTATTACTAACCTAGGTTCTCCCTCTCAATTAAATAAATGAGGTACAATACAATAATTTAACTTTTACCTCAAGATTCTCTTTTATGAAACAAATACATTGGATCCCCTTTTTGGGAAATTGCGCTCAGAAGTAAGTCATAAAAATCTAAAGTAATGCTTATGTACGTACATACTCATACAAACAAAAGTCTTTGGTACCGATGTCAAGCAAGTTAATAATTTAATAAGTTAATAATTTTACTCAATAATACCATAATTTTATTCAATAATATCCTATCTGTATAGCACTTTATTCAAAAGTTTCCACATGTTACATACCTGCTGTTCATTGATTCTGATTCTCTTGACAAAATGTATTAGTTGGGGTGGGTGCAGATATATCCACCTAATAGACTTAAAAACTAAGATACAGATCAGCTAAGCCAGAGGCCAGGATCACTGGATTCAATTTATCAATTCAAGTAAACAAACATTTATTGAGTACCTATCATATGCCACACCTTTGTCTAGACACTTTTCATGTACCTGTGAATAAAATAGAAAAGATCACTAACCTCTTAGGGCTTATATCCTAGTTGGGCAAAGAGAGGAGAAATACAATCAATAAACAAGTGCAGAGTAAGGAGAATGGGGAGTGAGCAGAGCTGAGCAGGGAAGCAGGCTGCAGATTTAACAGAGTTCAGAGCTGGCCTCTTTGGGAAAAGAAATTTGACAAAGATTTTTAAGAGATGGAGGTATTATCATTATCTTGAGGGAGACCATTCCAATTCAAAGAAACAGCTAGGAAAAAAAAAAAAAAGAAACAGCCAGAACAAAAGCCCTTAGGCAAAATGATTTGGTGTATTCACAGTGAGGAAGCTAATTTGGCTGAAACAAAGTGAGAAACTATAGGTGAACAACACATCACAGAAGTCCAAATTATATAGATTCTTTAAACAACAACGAAGTAACATAAGGAGTCATTTCAAGATTCTGAGTAAAGAAATGATAGAATCTAAGATAGTCTGAAAAGATCCCTCAGAAGCATATAGACTAGGGGCCGGGGATTTAGCTCAGTGGTTCTGCCACCTGCCTCACAAACGCAAGGACCTGAGTTCAATCCCAGGTACCAAAAAAAAAAAAAAAAGAAGCATATAGACTAGGTGGAGCTATTATGTAAAACAGGTAGAAAGACTTAGTTCTAACAAGATGTGATTTCAGGTGGTGAGAGGTGGCCAGGCTCTAGACATATATTGAAGTTAGAGCCAACTGGATTTATTGAGTGATCAGATTCAGAATATGAGAAAAAGAGAAAAGTCCAGAATGACACCCAAGTTTTTGGTCTGACCAAAACACAAGTTAGAGTTGCATCACCAAGACAGGAAAGTTGTGGATAGAACAGATTTTAGGTGGGAGGATCAGGAGTTCAGTTTTGGCAATGTTAACTTTGAAATGCCTGTTAGACATGTAAGTGGAGATCTCTAGTAGCCAGTTGAATATACAAGGCTGGAGTTTAGAAGAAAGGTCTAGGCTGCAGCTACAAATTTGAGAAATGTCAGCATATAAATCAGTCAATAAGCTGAGTAATACCACCAAAGAAATGAGCGTAGATAATGAGAAGAGAATCAAGCAGTGTATCCTGGACATGGCAGGCCATGGAAAAGAAAAGGAATCAGCAAAGGAGAAACAGTAAACAAGATAAGAATACAACCAAGGGTGCCAGGAGTTAGCTCAGTGGTTCTGCCACCTGCCTCGCAAGTGCAAGGTTCCAGGTTCAATCCCCGGCACCAAAAAATAAAGGAATACAACCATGAGATTATGAACTATACTGGAGCTAGATGAATAAAGTATATGAAGGAAATGGATGAAGAAGTGATCATCAACTTTATTAACAGCAGCTAAAAACTTTAGTTATTTAAGTCAGATCAAGATTAAGAACTGATCGTTGATTTAAACACAAAAATCAGGGGTGGGATGTAGTTCATGGTAAAGTGCTTGCCTAGCATGTATGAAGCCCTGGGTGCAATCTCCAGCATCTAAATAAATAAATAAATAAATGACACAGCAATCTCTAATGACTGCTGGACATGGTGCTGTAATCCCAGCACTCAGGAAGCTGAAGCAGGAGGATAGCTGTGAGTTTGAGGCCAGCCTGGCTACAAAGCGAGTTCACGGCCAGCCTGAACTGCATAATAAGACCCTGTATCAAAAAACTCACTAATGACTTTGATAAGAGCACTATGGATACAAAGATGGAGGTAAAGGCCCAAGTGGAATGGGCTTAAGAAAGAATAAAAGGAGAACTGGTGCAAGGGAATATAAACAACTCTTTGAAATTGTTTTGCTACAAAAGGAGACAAAAAAAAAATTAGGCAGAAGTTTGTGGAGGGAATAGTATGATAAAAAATATTTATTGAGTGTTTTTGCTTTTCTAAAGAAGGTAAGAAGAAAAGGTGAGTTTATGTTCTCATGAAAATGATCCTGCAGAAAGTAAAAATTTGATGACATAAAACCAGGAGTGCAGAATAACTAGAGTGATGTCCTGGACTGGAAAGATGGGATCTAGGACACTAGTAGAGGGTTCCGTGAGAAGGAAACACTGACGGTCCATCTATGCTGGTAAAAGGACAGGCAGGGAGAGTATGTGGGTGCTGATGTTGGTGGGTGGGAGTTGGTGGAACTTGTTTTCTCATTACTTTGGTTTTCTGGATAAAGAAGGAAGCAACCAAAAAGGAAAACCGTGGATGAAGTTTGGGGATTTGAGAAGATATGAGAAAATGCTAAAATTATCATCTAAAGAATAAAAGTATGAATGAATACAAAACAAATAGTATAATTGCCTGACATCATTAAATGTCTTCTTGACATTTACAGTCATGAATTTAAATAGGACTAGTCAGAAAGGTTGTATATTGTACTCTATTGATATACAGTCACATGGATATGGGCACAAAGGAGAGAATAGGACTCAAGCAAAATTGGGTTTAGCAAGAAAGGGAAGGAGATACATGGGAATTATTATAATGATCAACTCTGGAATTTATGGTAAGAATGGGGGTAAAAAAAAGTAAGAGATCAAAAGGCTGGAAGTACTGGTGGATTCAAAGAATTGTTGGGGAAAAGATTCTGAAGCAGTGACCTAGAAAGACAGGGAGTAGTGGTCAGGAAGTGAAATTATGGAAGGTATGCAATTTTGGTAATGATAACATCTAGGTAAGGATTTTCAGTCTTGGCATAGTGAATTGGAGGGGGGGATTAGGATTTAACCCTGGACTTTTGCCAGCTATATCACCCACTTATTTGGGAGGCAAGGGGAGACAGGGTCTCGCTCAGTCATTAAATTGCCCAGGCTGGGCTCAAACTTGAGATTCTCCTGCCTCAGCCTCCCAGAGTGCTGGGATTACAGGCATGTACCACCATGCCCAGCTGGCACACTGACATTTTAGATTAGAAATTTCCTTGTCTGGGACTGCCCTGTGTATTGTAGTATGTTTAGCAGCATCCACCGCCACTGACCAGATATCAAATACCAGACCCTGAGGTTGTAACAATCAAAAATGTCTCCAGACTTTGAAATATCATCCTGAGTTTAGAACCCCTAAGACAGGGTATAGCCAGGTGGTTGAGATTCTCGTGAAAAAAGATCAAGAGAGTCCAGGAAACATGAAAAAATTACCTATGATTATATCAGAATTGCTATCAAGTGTAGCATGTGAGAGGGAGTAGGAACTACAAAGGTAAAAAATAAAGGTCAGTAGATGATAACAATTAAGGGAAGTGAATGACATAATCTGATAACAAGATTTAAAGCTGATGATATACCATCTTCAAAATACACAGTGGTAAAGCTGGTGCTAGAATTTAGGCTTCCTTCCTACGACTTTTTTAAATGTCTAGAAGGTGGGCAGACAACACCTCCACGTGATTTCATGTTCAATTAAATTAGACTTGCAAAGACAAAAATAGGGGTCAGTCACAAACAATTGGCACCATTTCTCACTGCCATATAAAACAAACAGCTGAAAGCACATATTTTTGGCTGAATACCATCCTAAAAATAGGACATAACATCTTGGTTTTTTAAAATACTCTCAATTTTCATTCTGGCCTTTAAAAACATTGTACTGCCTTTGATTAGAAAAGAAACATCTTTTATTAGATGAACGCATTTATCTGTTTGCTACAGAGCTATCATAACCAACATTTTCCTTAGCTAACCAGGTGCCTTTATCCTTACACAGTTCAACCATCAAGGAGAACAAAAAGACCTTAATATTAAATGGACCGATTTGCAATGTTTTCCTACTGTGCATCACCTGCTCCTCTCACTGTCACCTGGAAAGACATCATCTCACCAGACTGTGAGCAGATTTAGAGCAAATGCCCAATTTTCATCCCCACCTCCTTAAAACAGATTTACAAGGGAAGTACTTGAAATTAATAGATGTGTCCCTTCTATAGGAGGAGCAGCTGCAAGATGGGAAATTCAAACTGTAGTGTTATTTATTAAGTTCTCCAAAATGTACTCTCATTTCAATAAGTCTTTAGGCCACAAGGAAGGTAGACTCCGAACTTCGACAAACCCATCTGCAGAATTTTCTCGTTATGATTAAAATGAATTTAAATTTTTAATGCATACACATGAAGCACAAAGATGGTGCGAAGGATACACCTGATGGTATCCTTTGAGTCCTACTCACTTTTACAGATTACCTAATCCAGTATTTAAAGCTCAAAAAAAACAAGGATGAAATCCTCTCTTTTCAAGTCCCAAAGTATTTGTTAGCACTTGTCAGAGCTCATCAATGGCATAATTATTCAGACCTTTACATAGTGCTATTACAATGACTAAGGTATTTCATGTATCATTTCTGAACTTGATGCTCTCCTATTAAACAGGAAAAGAAAAAAACCTTCAGAACAAGTACCAAGATTTAAATTTCAGCTTCATCACATATTGGCTGTTATGTTACTTAGACTCTCCGGTTTCATTTTCTCATCTGCTAAATGCAAATGATATTAGTCGCTGAGAAGAAAAATTCTCTATAATATGAATAGCATAATTCTGACACAATAATTGTTCAATAAATGAATGATAGTCCTCTTATTTTGTGGTTAATTAAAACAAGCTTCAGAGAATGGAAATAAGATAATCTAATAGTTAAGTCTCTCTACTTGAAAGATTAACACAACATTCTGATTTTGTTATACTACATCAGGAAGTTGAGCTTGTAGCACTTTTAGTTTTTATTTACAACACAAATGAACACAAAGACCAGATGCCTACCTTCCAAACTTTCTTGTTCATCAGAAGTATAAGCATCCATCTGACTTTGTTCCCGCAAGAAACGAATAACTGCGTAAACTAGGTGCTTGATAGTTGACATTTTACAAGCTTAAACACTTCCTCAACAATAAAAATGAAAACACAGAGTTCAGTTATTTTAAAGAATCAGCCAGAAAAGTTATCAATGATAAAAATAATAAATAGCAAGGATTATATTATAGTAAAAGCAGAAAAGAAACTTGCATTATCTTGATGTTTTTAGAGTCAGGAGAGCACGGAGTATTGTTTATTACATTTTTAAAATTTTAACGCAGTAGTATTAAACTATGTTTAATCTTGGATCAATAAGATTTTTTTCCAAAACATGTAAAACATAAGCTTAGACTCTCACTGCATCTTAATTATATATAGGGCAGGGATACAGAAAAGAAGTACGGATATGGATATAGAAATGCCCCAAAAGGCCTTGTCCTAAGGTGAGGGAAATTTCATACTGCTGACTCAGAAACTAGTACACAATAAGCATCTTCACCTAGTACACGAGGTTTTTAAAACTGTAACATGTGTAATTTACACCTCACCTACTTTCATTAGTCAAGAGTTATCCGCTGAGGAAATACACTCCGGAAAGGCTGTTCGACCATTGAGTGTCGTTCTGGATAAATGGCATTTCTATGCAATCAACAGACACGTCAGGAAATCATTGTCTAAACCGATGATAGTACAAATGGACCAGCGCTCTCTGCAGTAGCTGTGCTCTAGTGGAGAGGCTGGGCGCTTCGGGTCCTGTTCATTCACTTGGAATACTATTGCCTCCAAACAGTGGCGCAGGGCCAGTGGCATTAATGGCTCGTCTCCACTAAATCGCATCATCCGTCTGTTCCCCTGGCTCCCTAATTCAAAGCCAGGGTGTGGTGCTCGCCTTCAGGATCTGGTGCCCGCTGCTAGGATGCTTATTATTTGTTTACCAATTTTAAAGGCAGGCCCAACCTCTAGGCCACGGGGTTATTACAATAAACGCTATTAAATAAGGCCCCAGGGCAGAAGGTTAAAACGGAAAAGAAGGGGGAAAGGATCTATCCATCTCCTCCATGTTTCTCCTCCAGCTTCTGGAAGCACGACTACCCCTACTCCAAGCCTCCCTCCCTGCAGTACCCGGGCCTCCTCTCAGGCCCTAAGAGATTTGCAGCGGTTGTGCAGCACAGGCCTCCGTCTGGGGCTGGGGGAGATGCACCATTTCCAGACAGAAGCACCTTACCAGAAAAGAGAACGCAAGACGACAGCTGCGGGCCCGGGGGCGTCCGTAAACCAGTCCGCTCGGCTCCTCGACCTCAAGTGTCGAACCAGGATCGAGATCTCAGCATTGGCCGCGGTCGCCTAAACTTCACCGGCTCCCACACCGCCGCCCCCTCAGCCCACCAGGCTGCACGCTAGGCTCTGGGCAGCTGGGTCTCGCCGGGTCCGCCCCTGGGGCGGTGCAAGACGCGTGAGCGGTGGGGCAAGGACGGGAGGGGCGGGACTAGGGGCGGGGCCACAGGAGGCGCTAGCGTAGGGAGGGCCGCCGTGGGGCTGCCGCACGTGGGAGGGCGCTGGGAGGCCAGCAGTAGTCGCCGCCGCCGTGGCCTCAGCGAGGCCGGTTTTGGACTCACTGGCACCTGAACTACGCTGTCTGACCTCCCCAGCCCCAAGTCGAAGGACCCCCCGCCCGCCGCTGCCGCCACTGATCTCGGCGTGCCCATGATCGCCCGGTGCCTTTCGGCAGTGCGAGGCCTCCACAGGTACTCACGCGCGGGTAACCTTGACCGCGGGCAGGGCGGGGTCTCTGCGCGGGCTGTGCCAGACGCCCCGGCCCAGGTTCCTGGGCCCAAACCGCATCCCTGGAATCCTCCCTCCCCGAAGCCCGCGCCCTCGGCCCCCAGGGACACCTGCCCGGCAACCTGGGGCCACCTTTCCCTCCTCGGTTCCTTTGAGAGGGCATCCATTCTCCTTTGTTTGGGACTGCCTGAACCGCAAAGAGAGAGAGACTGATCACAGACCCAACCCAAAATAAATGTGGAAGGAGGGGCTGGACGTGAAAGTGCTTTCAGCCTCCTCTCCAGCCCAGAATTGCAGACCTGGCATTCAAGTGCCGCAGCTGTGAACTCAAGAATAACAACTCTCATTTATCCGTCGTGCACCCATTAGCATTCTAAACCTTTCATATACTTACATAAGCTTTGGTTTTGCCGTTTATTTCCGCCCCGCCCATGTTCTCTAATTTCCTGGGTTTTTTTTAACCTCCTCTCCATAAATATTCTGCCTCTTGTCCGGGCAAAATGAGTTGGCCTCTTAATATTCCTTGAACACGGTTTTGGTCAGCTTTCGCTGCTGTTTTGGATTGCTTCCCAGCTCTCTGACCACACCCCTCTGCAACAGACCAGTAGCAAGATGGTGAGAGAATTAAATTCTTCGCACGGATGCCCTGGTTTTTAGGAAACAATGCCGCCGCCACCCCATCCCCAAATCTCCCCAGAACTGTAAATCCAAAGAAAGATTCAGTAGAAGAAAGGAAAGGTTGTTTTCTGCTAGATACCTACAAAACTACTTTGGAATGTACAGTGTCAGCATTTAAGGTTTTTACAGCTTGCTGTTGTACATGGCCACTTGCCTGTGTGGAGCTTTGTGTTGCTCAGTCTTTGTACTTACTGTGCATCCAGGGAACAATGGTAATTATAGGTTAATGTGATGATTGTGACTATAATTTAGACTCCCCTTTTTTGCTAGTCTCCAAGTTAGAAGTGATATAGTTCTCAAATGAAGCTATGCCAACAAATAGATTTTCACATAATGCAGGTGTAAGAAGAGAATAAATCTTCCTATTGTCAGCAGTTCTTTAACTTTTTAAAATCTCAGTACCTAAGAGCTTGTGTGTATGTGGGTTATATGTGTCCATTTTATAAGAAATAAAATAGGACGTTCTTAAAGTATTAATTTATAAAGCGGTAATAAATACATTACAATAATCAATATTTTGTTTATCCATTCATCATCATTGGACATAGGTTGCTTCTCCCTTTTGACTCTTCTGAATACTGCTGTGATTACTGGGATGCAAATACTTGTGTCCCTGCTTTTAATTCTTTGTGAGCTATGTCTAGAAGTGGAAATTGCTGGATCATTTACTAATGCCATGTTTAATATCTTGAACCGTCATACTATTTTCTACTCTGGTTATACCATTTTTACATTCTCATCAGCAGTACATAGACTGGCTTCCAATTTCTCCACAGATTCACCAACACTGTTTTGCATTTTTTCAAAACGTGATTTAATACAAGATAGCCTGATTCTTTTTTTTTTTTTTTTTTTTTTTTTGAGACAGAGTCTTCTATGTAGTTCAGGCTGGCTTTGAATTCATTGTGTTCGAACTCACCATTGATGCCTCAGCCTCCTAAGTGCTGGGATTACAGACATGTGCCACCACACCTGGCGATATCCTAATTCTTACATCTGCTTCTGCATCTAATCTGTTGCTCTACTTTGTTTTGCTTTTAGAAGATGAAGAGCCAAGCTAGGGAAGTGCTCTACTACTGAACTGTATGCTCATCCCTTTTTATTTTTGATTTTGAAGCAAGTCCCACCAAGTTGCCTAAGCTGGGCTTAAACTTGGATTCCTCCTGCCTCAGCCTCTCAAGTAGCTAGGATAACAGATGTGTATCACTATGTCTGGCCCCATTGCCCCTCTCTCATTTCTTATTTTATAAAATGAAAAAGACTAGACTAAATTATATCTAAGGTCTTCTTCCCCCAATTCTGTGTTGCCATGGGAATTAAACCAGGAAAATTTATCTCCTGCCTCAACCAGATTGTGCAGCTTATGACTCAAGCAAAATCCAGTGTCTCTCAAAGTGAATGGATGACATGGTCAAAGAAATAAACAAGAAGGGTTTTCAACCATGTTAGGCCAAATTATGTAATTTTCTCTTTTTTTTTTTTTTTTTTTTGGTACCAGGGATCAAACTTGGGTCCTTGCGCTTGGGAGGCAGGCGTGGAACCACTGAGCTAAATTCCCGGCCTAATTTTCTCTTTCAATAAAAGAAGCAGTGCATGTTTCTTATAGAAAACTCCAAAACTATAATGACATGAAAAAGAAAATATTAAAAATAGGAGCAACCCCCTTTCCGGTCCCCCTTATGTCTCTCTTAGAAGCCATCTTTCAATAAATTCTTCCTGCTCTTAAAAAATAAAAATACATGCAGCCTACATATCCAGAAAAACCAATGTGTTAATGCTTTCAAAAAATCTCTTTTATGTCCAGTCTTTTTAAACCAAACATGAGTTTGCCGTACTGGTAATCTTTAAAGTAATATATACATTCTTTTATAATATCAGTAGCTACAATATAGTTCACTTGGGGATGTTGGAAATTTGATTAATCTCTACCTTTGGACATGCCACCTATTTCCAACTTCTTGCTATGAGTAACAGTGCTTGGATAAATATTCTTATTCTTTTTTTTCAAATCCTTAATTATTTTCTTGTGAAAGTTCTTAGAAATGAAATTTTTACATCAAAGCACAATTTGTGTATCAGAGGTACTTTTAGGCCTTTAATATTTATTATCATATTCTCCAAAAAATTCTCACAAGTTATACTAAACCAGCAGAATATGTAAGGGCTGGTTTCCCACACCTTTACCAAAACCTGAGCATTTTACTAATTTTTATCCTTGCCAGTTTTCCAATTTAAGTGGAAATTTCTTGTAATGTAATTTGCATTCCATTTTTTGATGGTTTACTTGATGAATATAATTCCTAAACAAAATTCAGCACCGTGGTCTAGAAACCAAAAAAAAGTTATTTGTTTTCTGATGTAAAATTTTAATCATATGGTAAAAATTTTTTAAATCAGAAAAATTACAGTTATTCAAAAATTTAATAATTATATATCTGACTGTAATTAAAACTGAGATCAGGGGCCAGGGATTTAGCTCAGTGGTTCCGCCACCTACCTTGCAAGCACAAGGTTCTGAGTTCAATCCCTGGTATCAAAAAAAAAAAAGTTTTAAAAAAGGAGAAGGGGGCTAAGGGTATATAGCTCAGTGCAGAAGTCCTGGATTGAATCCCCACTGCCAAAAATAAATAAGTAAACCAAAAAAAACCTTCTAATCATGAAATGAAATACAAAGAAAATCAATACAGAAATAGCAAGATGTATAAAAGAAAGTCCAGCTTATGAAATAAGGGTTTCTGATTTACCAAATCTTACTTTGGAAGACCCTATCCTATTCCACCCGCTCTAAGATAGTTAATACCTCCTCTTTGGCATTCAAAAGGAAACCCCCATATATCCCAGCAATACTTAACTATATCCTTGATACATAATTCTATTTTTTATTAAAAGCAAGAGGAAAATTTTACTTCTGCCTTACAATTTAGGAGAGTTGCAGTTATTGAAATAACCTGAGCTTTCTGGTGAATCTTGCTTGCTGCAGCATATAGTATCCACACTAGAAGGGCTACTTGTATAGTTACGGGCTTATTCCAGAATATATCCACACATCTTTTAGACTCTCAGAGGAATTCTTTGTAAGGTCTTGTAGCCTTCTTATCTGTCAAGATACAAAATACAGAAACAAATAATTTATTTAGAAAAGAGATGAATGATATAGATTGCAAGTACCAATTGGACAGCTCTTTTGGAGGTCTCATAATCACTGTTTCACTGTACAGATATTTACTGAATGCCTCTTACGTTGTTTAATTTCCATATCATCTCATCCTAAACTAAATTTACAACACTACTTCATAAACCTGCAGTTGGACCATTTTTGTTTTGGTTTGGTTTTTTTGGTACCAGGTATCGAACTCAAGACCTTGCGCTTATGAGGTAGGCGGTGGCACCACTGAGCTAAATACCCGGCCCTGGGCCATTTTTCTTTGTGCCAATGCCACCGATTTACTTGAGTCAAAAGCCTGGGAGTCATTTTTTGTCCTTTTTTTTCCCCCCTTCTGTCTCCTTTATCTTTTTCAACAATTACTAAATCCTAAATAGTCTTCACAGTCTTTCTCTTTTCTGTTTCTAGTACTTTCAAGTACCATTACCATAATCCAGTTTCTCATCATGAGACCTAGCCTCCATTTTTGCTTCCTACTAATGTATTTTCCTTAGGAAAGGACAGGTCTTTAGGAAATCCAAATGTGACCTGTCACACTTCAATTTAAAAATTTCTTTAGGCTATCATCAACATTAAGATAAAATCAAAACTCTTTCATATGATTATAAATCCCTACATTGTCTCACCCTGCTTAGCTCTCCTGGGTTTCCCTCTCAGTGTTTCTGCCAGAGTTCATGTCCTTACCTCCTTGCTTCAAATTACCACATACTGGTCCCTTGTTTGGAACATTCTTCTCTTCCCCCATGATTTCAGAACCTTTTACTTACTTATTTATAATGTTATGAAACATACAGTGCACAAATTTAATATATGATATAGTTTAAAAAATTTTTTTAAATTACATATTGAAAAGTGTATTTCTGGTAACTTTGAAGTCTCTTCATGTCCCTTTCAAGACAGATCCCTTTTTTTGTAGCAGAGATAATCACTCTTCCAAATCTCACGCTCATCATCCTCTTGCTTTTCTTTGTAAATATTACCAAATATAAATGTTTCCTAAATGACATATAATTCATTTTCACATGATGAAACTAGCTTCACATGGCTGTGGTTCATTTTTAGTGTTGCAAGATCATTGTGTGATTATTTTCAAATTTACTATCCATTTTCTTGTCCGTATAT